GTGGGCTTTTCATATATGGCTTTTATTATGTGAAGGTATGTTCCTTCTGTCCCGAGGTTCTTGAGGGTTTTTATTATGAAAGGATGCCATATCTTGTCATATGCTTTTTCTGCATCTATTGACAATATCATATGGTTCTTATCCTTCTGTTAATGTCATGTATCACATTGGCTGATTTGCAAATATTGAATCAGCCATGCAGCCCAGGAATGAATCCCAGTTGATCATGGTGAATAATTCTTTTAATATACAGTTTAATTCAATTTGCTACTATCTTGTTGAGAATTTTTGCATCCATGTTCATCAGGGATATTGGCCCGTAATTCTCCTTTTTTGTGGAGTCTCTGTCTGGTTTGGGAATCAAGGTAATGCTGGCTTCATAGAATTAGTCCAGAATTTTCCTTCCGTTTCTATTTTTTGGATAGGTGTTAACTCTGCTTTAAATATCTGGTAGAATTCCCTTTGGAAAGTATCTGACCCTGGACTCTTATTTGTTGGATTGGAGATTTTTGATAACTGATTCCATTTCTTTGCTACTTATGGGTCTATTCAAATTTTCTGTTTCTTCCCAGTTGAGTGTTTATAGTGTGTGGGTGTCTAGGAATTTGTCCCTTTATTCTAGATTGTCCAGTTTGTTGGCATATAATTTTTTATAGTATTCTATGACAATTGTATTTCTGAGGGGTTGGTTGTGATGTGTCCAATTTCATAAGTAATTTTATCTATTTGGGTCCTCTTTTCTTTTTAAGAAGTTTGGCTAGGGTTCTATCAATTTTGTTTATTTTTTCAAAAAAACCTATTAGTTTCCTTGGTCTGTTCTACTGGTTTTTTTTTATTCTATATTTATTTCTGCTCTGATCTCTATTATTTCTCTTTTTCTGCTAGGATTGGGGTTTCTTTGCTGTTCTGCTCCTTGTTCCTTTAGGTGTGCTGTTAGATTTTGTATTTGGGAATATTTCTTATTTCTTGCGATAGTCCTGGATTGTAAGGTGTTTCATCTTAGGACTGTCTTTGCTGTATCCAAAAGCATTTGTACTGTCGTATTTTCATTTTCATTTGCTTCTGTATTATTTTTTATTATCTTCTTTAATTGACTGTTGACCCATTCATTTTTTATAGGATGGTCTTTAACTTTCATGCATTTGGAGGTTTTCCAAATTTTTCCTGTAATTGATTTCAAGTTTCATAGCATTGTGATCTGAAAATGTGCATGGTATGATCTCAGTTCTTTTATATTTATTGCGGGCTGTTTTGTGACCCAGTATGTGATTTGTCTTGGAGAATGTCCCATGTGCATTTGAGAAGAATGTGTATTCTGCTGCTTTTGGATGGAAAGCTCTCAATATATTTGTCAAATCATTCTCGTCCCGTGTATCGTTCAGGGCCATTGTTTGTTTATTGATTTTCTGCCTAGGTGATCTGTCCACTGCTGTAAGTGAATTGTTAAAGTCCCCTGCAATTACCCCATTCTTATCAATATGATTGCTTATGTTTGTGATTAGTTGATTTATGTATTTAGATGCTACTGAATTTGGTGCATAAATATTTATAATTGTTAGGTCTTCTTGATGGATAGTTGCTGTAATTATGATGCAGTGCCCTTCCTCATCTCTTTTTACAGCCTTTAGTTTAAAATCTAGTTTGTCTGATGTAAGTACGGCTACTCCAGCTTTCTTTTGACTTCCAGTAGCATGATAGGTGGTTCTCCATCCCCTCACTTTCAATATGAAGGTGTCTTCACGTCTAAAATGGGTCTCTTGTAGACAGCATATAGATGGAGCTTGTTTGTTTTTTTGTTTTTTTTAATCCATTCTGATAACCTATGTCTTGTTTTGGAGCATTTAGTCCATGTATATTCAGTGTTATTATTGAAAGATATGGATTTAGTGTCATTGTGTTATCTGTAGGTTTCATGCTTGTGGTTATGATTCTGGTCCTTGGAAGTCTTTGCAACATTCCACTCACAGAGCTCCCCTTAGGATCTCTTGTGGGTCTGACTTAGTGGTCATCAACTCCTTCATTTTTTTTTTTTTTTTTCTGGGAAAACCTTTATCTCTCCTTTTAGTCTTAATGACAGCCTTGTTGGGTAAAAGATTCTTGGCTGCACATTTTTCCTATTCAGAATATTGAATATTTCCTGCCATTCCCTTCTGGCCTGCCACATTTCAGTGGACAGGTCTGCTACTACCCTTATGTTTCTAACCTTGTAGATTAAAGCCCATTTGTCCCTAACTGCTTTCAGAATTCTCTCTTTATCTTTGTGTTTTGCCAATTTCACTATGATCTGTCATGGAGATCGATTTCAGTTATGTCTGAAGAGGGTTCTCTCTGCCTCCTAGATTTCAATGCTGCTTTCTTCCCCAGATTGGGGAAGTTCTCAGGTATGGTTTGTTAAAGCAAACCTGCCCCTTTCTCTCTCTCTTCTCCTTCTTCTGGAACTCCTATGATACAGTAGTTACTACGTTCATTGAATCATTTAGTTCTCTAAATCTTCCCCAGTGATCTGGAAATTTTTTATCTCTCCTTTTATTAGCTTCATCTTTTTCCATAATTTTATCTTCTATTTCACTTATTCCCTTCTGCCTGTTCATTCCTGCCTGTCACTGCATCTAGTTTATTTTGCACCTTATTTACAGCAATTTTTAAATTTGTCATGGGTATTTTTTAGTTCCTTGATCTCCACAGCAATAGATTCTCTGCTGCTTCTATGCATTTTTCAAGCCTTCCTCTATGTGGCCTCCTCTCTTCCTCTAGTTGTGTAGTTTGTTGTGTCAATTATCAGGTTGATTTCTTGGGTATTCAGAATGATTTGGTTGCTATCTTGTTGTGTTTGAGGGATAAGACAGTCCTAGGGTCCTTCTACTGTGCCACCATCTTAGCTTTTCTCCTCAACATTTTATTTCTTGATATTTAAGTTAATGTTCTTTCATTGTACCTTTTTTAGTATGGTGTTTATTATATTAATTTTTTTAATGTTTTATTTATTTCTAGGAGAGAGAGAGATAGAGCGTGAGCAGGGGAGGGTCAGAGAGACAGGGAGTCACAGACTGAAACAGGCTCCAGGCTCTGAGCTGGCAGTCAGCACAGAGCCCGACACGGGGCTCGAGCCCACGAACTGCGAGATCATGACCTAAGCGAAAGTTGGACGCTTAACCGACTAAGCCACCCAGGCGCCCCATATTAATTTTAATAAGACATTTTGTTCAGTGTACTCAGACTTTTGAATTATAATTTATTGCTTTTCCTGGCCTCATATCTCTTATTTTCTACAAATTCAGTTAGTTTCATATTTAAATTTATACACACACACGTACATGCATACATCCTTGGCAAATAGAAACCACTTACTCATCAAGCATTTATTAGAGAGCACATCTAAAGACCTGTCAGTAGGTGTGGTGAGAGACACGTAAGAAGAGATATTAGGGTTTTCCCCCAGGGGATTTAAAGTCTACTTCAGAAGGTAAAGTATATACTGGAAACCAAAGAACTATTAAAAGAAACTGATAAAGAAATGCAAGGTTAACTGCATTTTGTGTTTTGAAGGTACATGGAGTAATAGAATGATATATATGGTTGTTTTAAGGAAGATTTTTTGGAAATATTTAAATTTTTTATAACAGATTATTAAAGTATGTGATTAGCTTTGAGAATGGTAGAATTATGATGTTATGAGGAGTAGGGTGAATAGCCCAGGAGAAACAGACGATATGAGCCAAAACATGGACATTAAAGTTGATAGATTAAGAATTAGACATAGTATGTCGAAAGTAGGAGAGATGAGACCAGAAAATAGTGTATGAAGAGGGATGATTTGAGTTAGAGGCAGGAAGAAGATTTTATGGGATAGAGTTTAGAGATCATATAAAGAAGAGCTGCTATATGTTCTTGAGCAATTGGTTAGCAGATGTTTACTTCCCAAGTTCTATCATATACAAGGCATTTTTATTGTTGAGCAGTAGGGAACTCAATGAAGTGTAGGTTCTATGGCAGATAAACCCTCTAGGTGAGATGCATGATGCAGATAAACTGAATAGGAGCTAGTTTTATCAGCGAAGGCAGTATGGACTTAGAATGTTTATAGTAGTATAACTTTGAAAGTGTGAATTCTAGTAGAATAATAGACACTAATACTAAAATGAAATATTGCAGGAAAGAATACAGAAAGATACTCTTAGATACCACATCGCGATAAGCCGGCTTAAACTTTATGGCAGACTTTTTCTAGCTCTGTCACATCAGCAATAATAATAATAATCTTTGGGACACCTGGGTGGCTTAGTCGGGTAAGTGTCCGACTTCGGCTCAAGTCACCATCTCACAGTTGATGGGTTCAAGCCCCGTATCGGGCTCAGTGCTGAGAGCTCAGAGCCTGGAGCCTGCTTCAGATTCTTTGTCTTCCTCTCTCTCGGCCCCTCCCCTGCTTGCTTTATGTATCTCTCTCTCTCAAAAATAAACATTAAAAAAATACTAATCTTTGATAACTACGTCTGTGTGCCAGGGACTGTGACAGGCTCTTTTCTTGTGATACCATGAAGATTAATTTTTTAACCTTCCAAACAATCATATATAACACCCATATTATAGATGGATAATTTAGGTCAGAGAAGATAAATAACTTTTCTGAATTCACAGTTATCACAGGGTCAGGGTTTGAACTTTGTGCTATTTATTCTGAAGGCTGTGCTCATAAACACTTACGATTAGTTTCTAAAATATAATTCCTCTGTCTGCCTTAAATTCTCAAAAGTGTACATGAGACATGCCCTGCTAAACTCTGAAATCTTTATATCTATTTTTCAAGTATTAATTATGTTTCAAGTATTAATATTGTACTGATACCTTAGCAGATGAATGTTTAGTGTGTGTTTTATATAAGGAAAAATGTATACTGGATTTGATAATATAAATAGGGTAAAGAAATAAAAATTGCCATTAAAATAATATAAAAATTGATTTGGTACAGTTAGTAGAAGTGTGTTGTTTTAATTTCTAATTAGTCAGGATTTGCATGAAGATGTTGAAGAAGCTGTTGCACTGCAGAAAAATCATGCTTCTGTGACATCTGCAAACCCCACGGAAGGGGCAGATTCTGCCTATCTGTCTTTGGACCATGAGTCATTGTGCACTGTGAGCTGTGAAATGCCCACGGAAAGAACTCCAAAGAGTGATCTAGAGAGTTCCCTAGATATAAATGATGTCGAAGCAACAAGGGAAAAAGAAAAGCATCGTGATGATAAAACTTGTGTTAAGTCAGCTTCAGAAGAAACAAATGAAAATATGCTTACAGCAGACGACTCCTCACTGCAACCAAAGGAAAATAGGATTACTTACTCACAAATTATTAAAGAAGGCAGGAGATTTAATATCGATTTAGTATCAAAGGTAAGTACCAGTTTTCTTCATCTTATCATAGAACAATACTAATTTTTAATTGATTGAAAATAGCATCTGGGACCATATACCCATTTTTCATAATTTTATTTTCTGAAGTATAGAACATACGTTTTATAAAGTGATAGTAACCAGAAATTTATAATTCAGTTAAACTATTCTTTAAATGTGGATAAAATGCTTTAAAAAATGCTCAGTACTATATCACAAGGATTCTTTTATACTGGAACAGAGTCCATTCTTCTGCAGGGATACTATGAATTCTATCCAGAGAAATACTCTGGGCCTGGGTGGCTCAGTCGGTTAAGCCTCCGACTTCAGCTAAGGTCATGATCTCACAGTTTGTGGGTTCGAGCCCCGCGTCAGGCTCTGTGCTGATAGCCAGCTCAGAGCCTGGAGCCTGTTTCAGATTCTGTGTCTCCCTCTCTCTCTGACCCTCCCCTGCTCGTGCTGTCTCTCTCTCTCTCTCAGAAATAACTAAAACATTTAAAAAAATTTTTAAAAAGAGAAATATTCTAATAAACCTAATTAAAAATTCATGTTATTAATAGTCAATTTATTACATGAACTTCTTTCAGCTCATATATAGTAACTTAACAACTGTATGATGATGAACATTCTAAATAAACAAATGCATTTTTGAAAATCATCTGTTTAGATGTGAGGGCTTTGGAGGATAATTTAATAGTGGGGGGACAGCGAGGCTGGGAAGAGTGCTATTATCTGGTTATGTTTCAATCCTTAACTCTAATGTTAGGTCATTGTGACTTCAGAGCAGGTTCCTGAGTCTTTGGAGGGTACAGTGTTGTGTTGGGTTTATAGGAAGCAAGGTGAATATAATGCAAAAAGAATAGAAAAGCAGTAAGATAAAGGATAATGATCTTTAAAGGTTAGATAGAGGACTTGGAATAAGGAGAAAGAAACATACCAAATCCCATAAATTGGGAATAAGCAATAAGAAATTAAAAAGTAGGGGAGGGTAGTAAATAACATTAGACTTGCCTCAGAACTAGGCTTTTCAATTTATTTTATTTATTTTTTAATGTTTTATTTATTTCTGAGAGAGAGAGAGACAGCGTGAGTGGGGGGGGGGGGTCAGAGAGAGAGGGAGACACAGAATCTGAAACAGGCTCCAGGGTCTGAGCTAGCTGCCAGCACAGAGCCCGACGCGGGGCTCGAACTCACAAACTGTGAGATCATGACCTGAGCCGAAGTCGGACGCTCAACCGACTTAGCCACCCAGGTGCCCTAGGTTTTTCAATTTAATGTGCTCTATTGAAGTCCCAAGTTAGAGTAAAGAGAGACTAATTAATTGTATGTTCCTCATATTTTGCTGATACAACCCCATATACTTATACTGCTGCTCTCTCTCTCTCGCTCTCTCTCTCTCTCTCTTTTTTTAACTTTTTGTAAATGGTTTTATTTTTGAGAGACAGAGAGGGACAGAGCACGAGTTGGGGAGCAGCAAAGAGAGAGGGAGACACAGAATCTGAAGCAGGCACCAGTCTCTGAGGCCATCAGCCCAGAACCTGAAGCGGGGCTCCAACTCACGAACCATGAGATTATGACCTGAGCCGAAGTCAGATGCTTAAGCGACTGAGCCACCTACTCGCCCAAATCTCCTGGTCTCTTTGAACCTGATGCCTAAAATTATGGTTTATTTTTATTACCCTTTGTTTCTTTCTATCACATAGCTCTCTGTGTTTGATTCTTTCCTGGCCTGAGTTGGCTGCTACCTTGGTCCTACTTCATATTTCTGTGCCATTTATTCTGCCTTCTCCAGCTACTATGATCCTGCCACATTTGAAATCTAGCATTTTTTTCCATATTACCTTGGCTTTGATTTCTGAGTAGAAGTTTAATCATATTTTACGAATAGTCTTACTGTTCTCATCAATAGAAACTAAATTTTAGCAAACCAAATAAACAGAACAACAAAAAGCTGAAGTAGTTTGTACCTCTTAATTCCCTTTTTTTCACCCAAACCCACCCACCTCCTTCCCTTCTGACAACTACCAGTTTGTTCTCTGTAGTTAAGAGTCTGTTTTTTTTGTTTCTTCATTTGTTTTGTTTTTTATAGTACACAGGAATGAAATTATAAAGTATTTGTCTTTCTCTGACTTGTTTCACTTAGTATACTACGCTCTTGGTCCATCCATGCTGTTGCAAATGGCAAGATTTCATTCCTTTTTTTTATGGCTGAGTAATATTCCATTGTGTATAAGTACACACACACACACACACACCATCTTTATCCATTCTTCTGTTGATGGATACTTCATATTCTTTCACCTCTCATCACCAAAATTTCTGTTAGATTACTTAAAGAGTGGTGAAAAGAGGCTTAGGTTTAAATACCTACTTACTTGTTACTATCAAGTTTCAGACAAAAGTTTAGTATAACTTTAATTAAAATGTGTTTTCACTCTTCAATGTTATCTTAAATGCATTATTTTAAAGCCTGTATTAAATCTTTTTTTTTTAATTTTTTAATGTTTTATTTATTTCTGAAAGAGAATGAGAGAGGCAGCCAGGGAAGGGTCAGAGAGAGAGGGAGACACAGAAACTGAAGCAGGCTTTAGGCTCTGAGCTAGCTGTCAGCACAGAGCCTGATGCGGGGCTCGAACCCACAAAATGTGAGATCATGACCTGAGCCGAAGTTGGACGCTTAACCGACTGAGCCACCCAGATGCCCCATAAAGCCGGCATTAAATCTTAAGCTTCATTGTACTTTATTAAGTGAAAATACACCTTTTGTTTGATGTATTATTATTTGTGAAATTATTATGACTACTGAGGGATCATTGAATTTCAAATATTTGTTTTTAAACGAATTAGGTATTTCAATTACCTGTTTTTTTATTATAATTACAGAACTAAGACTTGGCAATATATTCTTAAAAACTTGCGTTATATCAGCTGTATAGGGTATTACGCTGAAGGTAACGAAATAACATGCTGTATTTAGTCAGAGTAATTGGATTAGTTAAAAAAATGCAATGTCACTTTTGTTCTGCACAATTCTGGACTAATACTTTATAAACATTTCCCTGATACTGATATAAAAATTCTTTACTGACCTCTTGGGTACTCAAGACTACTGGTTTGGATTAACTTCCAAACTTCCTTTTTTTTTTTTGGTAGCAAAGCTAACTGTTCCTCCCTTCCCATTACAGACGTAACATTTACATTTTTAACATTTATTGAGTTATAGACACTTAAAGGTATATCAGTATAGGGCATAGCCAAGTCCGTTGCAATTAACCGTATGGTTAAATTTAGATCATGCTAGATAATACTGTTGAAGTTGTTTTTGTCTCTCTGATATTGGTTATGAGGGATATGAAAGACTGAATCAATTCTTTGCGTGCATCCTGGCAATAGTCATCATTCTCACTTCTTGAAAAAGGCATGCCTCATATAAATCTAGACTACTAGGATTATAGAGGGCCCTTTTAATTCAACTCTTTTGGTGGCAATACATGGCCAATCTTTTTCTTTTTTGGTTGATGAGGAGGTCTACGGAGCTGATTTCTTTTATTTTTTTTTTTTAATTTTAAAATTTACTATTATTATTTTTGAGAGGGTGTGAGCAGGGGAGGGACAGAGAAAGGGGAGGGAGAGGATCTGAGTGGGCTCTGCACTGACAGCAGCGAGCCTGATGTGGGGCTCCAACTCACGAACCCCAAAATCATGACCTGAGCCAAAGTCAGACTTCAGACACTCAACCAACTAAGCCATTGCATCCCCTGGTTTCTTTTTAATAACCACCTGGCCTTATATAATGATACAGTCCCTTATTCAAAACCCTTGGGCTTGTAATGTTCTGTTATTTAGATTTAAAAAAATATTTTAGAAAATAATAAAATATATATGTTGATATGCTATATATGATGTGACATTCTTAGGGTCTGAGGAGGCATTTTATCATTAAACCTATCAATATTTTTGCAGTCAAATGTATGAATATTCACAGAAAGTGGGGCAAATAGAGAAGAACCTTATATCAGTTTGGGTCATTTTGTTCCCAAATTAGTTATGAAAAACTTTGTATTCCAGAGTATTTTGGATTTTGAATTTCAGATAATCAATCAATTGTAAACCTGTAGTAAATTGTGTTCTGTACTCCAATATTAATAGGTATCATACTTTTTACAAATATTTTAAAATATAACAAAATTATGTGTCTATTTAGTGTTTATCAGTTTTCTACAACTTTTCCTTTTATTTCATCCTGTAAAATATTTTCTTTGTACAGCTGCTGTATTCTCGAGGATTACTAATTGATCTTTTAATCAAATCTAATGTAAGTCGATACGCAGAGTTCAAAAATATTACCAGGATTCTTGCATTTCGAGAAGGAAGAGTGGAACAGGTACTTTTGCTGATCAGGTATTGTAACTGGATATGGGCTTAAGTTGTTTTGTTTTAGAAGGATAAACAAATAAGAAAGATTATTATTTTCCTGGGAAAGCACAAATTCCAATCCTGCATGGTATATGTAAATAGCAAGAGATAACTCAATTAAAATTTCTAGTATTAATTTTTTCATAAGTTATCTGCAGCCTGATGTTTCTGTTAAGAAAATGTTAATTTCAGGCATTATTTCTAGATTTCAGTTGTCATTTGTTTCCAGGTAGGGATAACATGCCATTGGCCTTTTAATGGCATAAGGAGCAATTTGGCCAAATTAAGTAAGAGAGTTCACAGGTTAATTAACTCTGAAGTCAACATAGATGCCTTTGGAACTAATGGAATGTAACATTAAACAGCCTGACTAGAATGGAAATAATGATCTTGTTATAGTTAAAGGGAAAAAAATCTAATTTGAAATACTTCTGTCATTAGGAAGCAGTTTCGTAACTTAAAATTATGTTTTTCAGGTTCCTTGTTCTAGAGCAGATGTCTTTAATAGCAAACAACTGACTATGGTAGAAAAGCGAATGCTAATGAAGTTTCTTACATTTTGTATGGAGTATGAAAAACATCCTGATGAATATAAAGGTATTGTTTTCCATTAAATTGTGCTCTCTAACTATTTGAGCTTTCTTATTTTAATATGCTTGCTCTGATGTAGTGAGCTGCTCATTACTCTTTTTTTTTTTAATTTTTTTAACGTTTTATTTATTTCTGAGAGAGAGAGAGAGAAAGTGTGAGTGGGGGAGGGTCAGAGAGAGAGGGAGACACAGAATCTGAAACAAGCTCCAGGCTCTGAGCTAGCTGTCAGCACAGAGCCCGACGCGGGGCTCGAACCCACAAACCATGAGATCATGACTTGAGCCGAAGTCGGACACTTAACCGACTGAGCCACCCAGGCGCCCCTCATTACTCTTTTCAAGTACATTCTTACTCTGCACTATCCAGTAGGTTAGCCATTACCAACACGTAGCTATTTAAATTGAAATTAATTAAAACTAAATAAAATATAAAATTCATTTCCTCAGTTGGACTAACCATATTTAAAGTGCTCAATAGCCATAGAACATTTTTATTCTTGCTAATTAAATACTGGTGTTAACTGGTTCTTCATAGATGATATTTTCTTTTCATTGTTCAGTTAATTTTTTTATCAGTTAAAAATGTGTATTTTTTCATTTTCCCAGGATTACTTTTGCTTTGTATATTGAATTATTAGTTTTGACTGATTAAGAAAAAGAGGCTAGATGGTATGAGGAATGTGAACCACTGGGTTAGAGTGCATAGTTTCTAGTCATGGCTTTGGCCCAAATCACACAGTTACTTCACAGTTTGTTGAAAATTGACTATGTCACTTTAGTATTAGAGCTTAATACTTTTTAAGGGCATTGAGCTGGAAATGTTATCTAAAATAGGAATATACTATTGATGTTTTATTTATAAAGTTATAAGTAATACAGCAGTATGTTTTTTTACTTGATGGAATATTAAAAGTATAGCTCTTGCTCTTAAAGCTTCATGGCCATTAGACACTGCCAAATTATTCTTCACAGTGGTGTAAACAAATTCTCTCAGTAAATTTTTATAATTTTTTTTTTTTGGTCATGGAATTGTGTTTTCTACCATTAACAGTCTAATTAAATTTTTTTTTTCTGTTCTTGATTTAAATGAGTAGTTTTTAAGGGCCCCTTATCTTTTGAGGTATAAGACATTAAGACTGATTCCATTAGCTTCACAGAAATTAGCTTCATTACTTTTTAGTCATAGTTCATTGTTCTTAATTTTAGTAAGAAATATACATTTAGTATATTTCTTTACATTTCTTTACAATATACATTTAGTAAGAAATATACATTTCAAAAAAATCAAGTACAACTTTCATTGTTTTCACTAAAAGTTCACCATTTGTCATATTTAATATTTTGAAGTATAATTATTAGCATTATTCTGCAGTTTTAATGATAGTAAAGTAACATTGCCAACTATGGAAACTTTTTGTGATGGTTAATGAATTATTGAATGTTTTTCTAGTTTTTTAAATCTGTAAAAATACTAACCAAATATTTATTATTGAAAGCTTAAAAATTCTGCCATCAATCCAGTTAGGATAGTGAGATTGTTTCTAGCCTGCCTCCCCACCCCCACCCTAAAAGCTGTGGTGTCTGTCCAAAATGTAATATTACCACCTGGGTCCTTTGCCAAGTGTCTTAAACAGGCTTGATCTCTTTTGTGCAGTCGTTTTAAATTGAAGTTTGGTTCTGATATTAACTGATAAATTTTCATCTTTTCATAGCCTATGAGGAGATTACATTTTCTGAGTATTTAAAAACTCAAAAATTAACCACCAACCTCCAGTACTTTGTCCTGCATTCAATTGCAATGACATCAGAGACAGCCAGCAATACCAGAGATGTTCTCAAAGCTACTGAAAACTTTCTTTATTGTCTTGGGCGATATGGCAACACTCCATTTTTATTTCCTTTGTGTGGTCAAGGAGAACTTCCTCAGTGTTTCTACAGGTAAGACTGGCATTGGTTTTCTTGTTTCTTCTTAAGTTTACACTTACATAACAGATGGAAATTTATTTATTTTTAAAGTTTATTTATTTTTGAGAAAGAGAGCAAGCTAGTGAGCACATGCAAGCAGAGGAAGGACAGAGAGAAAGGGAGAGAGAGAATCCCAAGCAGGCTCTGTGCTGTGATCACAGAGCCTAATGCAGGACTTGATCTCACTAACCATGAAGTCATGACCTGAGCCTAAACCAAGAGTCAGACACTTAGCCTAATGAGCCACCCAGGCACCCCATAGGTGGAAATTTAAAAAACAAAAATGAGGTTTATTAAAGATTTAGTATATGCAAACATACTTGTTGTTTTATTCTTGTATGAATCTGTATATTTTCCTACCTACCTATCTAAATTATATATTCAATTTGCCTGTTTTTGAACTTCATAAAATAGAATTCTACTGTAAATTCCTTATTTCACTCAATATTATGTTTCAAAGCATCATTTTTGTTGTGTATAATTATACTTATTTTCATTGCTATGTAGTATTCTATTGTGACTATACCAAAATTTATTTTTCCAGTTTTCTTTTGATGGATACAGTATGTTTCCAGTTTTTGTTTTTGCTGTTAATAACATCCTTGTGTGTGTTTCAGTATATACATGCTTAAGAATTTCTCTTGGATACATATCTAGGAATGGAAATCCCAAGTCACGGGATATATGAATGTTCATACAACATAGTACCCAACTTTTTGTCCAGAGTATTGTACCGGTTTACATCCTCCAGCAGAATATAAGAATATCCATAGCTTTATATTTTTGCCAACATTTATTATTAGATTGTTAAGTTTTCATCAATCAAACTCACATAAAATACCCTATCATTGTACTTTTATTTTGCATTTTCCAGACCACTTAATGAGGTGGAATGTCTCCACATATGATTATTGGATATTTATGTTTTCTCTTTGGGGAAATCCGTATTCATAAGTTTTGCCCATTTATATATTGAATTATTTTTCCTTATTGATTTGTAGGAGTTTTTATTCTGAGTACTAATCTTTTTGTAGTTATATGTGTTGCATGGAGGTCATTAAGATTACAATCTTAGGCCAACAGACACATGAAACGATGCTCAGCATCCCTCCTCATCAGGGAAATACAAATCAAAACCACACTGAGATACCACCTCACGCCAGTCAGAGTGGCTAGAATGAGCAAATCAGAGAACTCTAGATGCTGGCGAGGATGTGGAGAAACGGGCACCCTCCTGCACTGTTGGTGGGAATGTAAACTGGTACAGCCCCTCTGGAAAACAGTGTGGAGGTTCCTCAGGAAACTAACAATAGAACTCCCTTATGACCCAGCAATAGCACTGCTAGGAATTTACCCAAGGGATACAGAAATGCTGAGGCATAGGAGCACATGTACCCCAATGTTCATAGCAGCACTCTCCACAATAGCTAAAACATGGAAAGAGCCTAAGTGTCCATCAACAGATGAATGGATCAAGAAGATGTGGTTTATCTATACCATGGAATACTACATGGCAATGAGAAACAATGAAATCTGGCCATGTGTAGCAACATGGATGGACCTTGAGGGTGTTATGCTGAGCGAAATAAGTCAGGCAGAGAAGGACAAATATCATATGTTTGCACGTATAGGAGGATTAGGAGGAACTTGACGGAGGAACAAGGGGGAGAAGAAGGGCGGAAATGGTGGGGGAAAGGGAGAGAGGCAAACCATGAGAGACTCTTGAATGCTGACAAAAACTGAGGACTGATGGATGTGGGGGGGAGGGGGGGATGGGCATGAAGGAGGGCACTTTGGGGATGAGCACTGAGTGTTATGTAGAAACTAATTTGACAATAAACTATTTGTAAAAAAAAAAATAAAAAAAAAAGATTACAATCTTAATACTTAACATAACGATCTTTTTTATACTTAGCACTTTTAGGGTAGTGAAGCATAGGAATTTCAAACCTGGACTGTGGACACAGACTACCTAGATTTAAGTTCTGTTTCCTGAGTTTATTAGCCATGTAAACTTGAGGAAGTTTCACAGTGTCTCTAGTATGTTTTCAAACAATCAACTTTTAGGGTTTTTGATTCTTTTTATTGTAGCTTTGTGTTCCTAGTTCATTACTTTCCATTCTTTATTATCTCCTTTATTTTGCTTTCTTTGGGTTTTATTCAGCTCATCCCTCCCCTTTTATGCCCTTGCCAGTTCTTAGACCGAAACTCAATGAGTTAAATATTTTTATTATTTTCTAAGCATTTTTTCTTTCTTTCTTTTTTTTTTTTTGCTTTTATAGTTTATTGTCAAGTTGGTTTCCATATAATACCCAGTGCTCATCTCAACAAGTGCCCTCCTCCATACCCATCACTCCTTTTCCCCTCTCCCCCACCCCTATCAACCCTCAGTTTGTTCTCAGTATTTAAGAGTCTCTTATAGTTAGCCTCTCTGCTTCTCCTTAACTTTTTTTCCCCTTCCTCTCTCCCATGCTCCTCTGTTAAGTTTCTCTCATTCAACATATGAGTGAAAACACATGGTATCTGTCTTTATTTGCCTGACTTATTTCCCTTTGCAAAACACCCTCGAGTTCCATCCACGTTGCTACAAATGGCAAGATTTCATTGTTTCTCATTGCCATGTAGTATTCCATTGTATAAATAAACCACATCTTCTTGATCCATTTCTCAGTTGATGGATATTTAGTCTGTTTCCATGATTTGGCTATTGTTAAAAGTGCTGCTGTGAACATTGGGGCACATGTGCCCCTATGCATCAGCACTCCTGTATCCCTTGGGTAAATTCTTAGCAGTGCTATCGCTGGGTCATAGGGGAGTTCTATTGTTAATTTTTTGAGGAACCTCCACACTGTTTTCCAGAAGGGCTGCACCAGTTTACATTCCCACCAACAGTGTAGGAAGGTTCCCGTTTCTCCACATCCTCAACCAGCATCTCTAGTCTCCTGATTTGTTCATTTTCGCCACTCTGACCACTATGAGGTGGTATCTCAGTGTGGTTTTGATTTGTATTTCCCTGATGATGAGGGATGCTGAGCATCATTTCATGTGTCTGTGGGCCATCTGGATGTCCTCTTTGGAGACGTGTCTGTTCATGTCTTCTGCCCATTTCTTCACTGGATTATTTGTTTTTCGGTGTGGAGTTTGATGAGTTCCTTATAGATTTTGGACACTAACCCTTTATCTGATATGTGATTTGCAATTATCTTTTCCATTCTGTCGGTTGCCTATTAGGTTTATTGATTGTTTCCTTTGCAGTGCAGAAGCATTTTATCTTGATGAGGTCTCAATCGTTCATTTTTTCACTTGATTCCCTTGCCTTTGGAGATGTCTCAAGGAAGAAATTGCTTCAGTTGAGGTTAAAGACGTTGTTCCTACTTTCTTCTCTAGGGTTTTAATGTTTTCCTGTCTCACATGCAGGTCCTCCATCTATTTTGAGTTTATTTTTATGTATGGTGTAAGAAAGTGGTCCAGTTTCATTCTTCTGCATGTTGCTGTCCAGTTCTCCCAGCACCATCTGTTAAAGAGGCTCTCTGTTTTCCATTGGATACTCTTTCCTGCTTTGTCAGAGATCAATTGGCCATATATTTTTGGGTCCAATTCTGAGTTCTCTATTCCATTGTTCTATGTATCTTGTTTTTGTGCCATCAACCATGTCATGCTGGATAACTCTTTTTATATGTTTTTTAATTTGATTCGCTAATATCTTCGTGAAGATTTTTGCATCTGTATTCATCAAGGATATTGGCCTGTAGTTCTCTTTTTTTGCTGTTTCTCTGTCTGGTTTGAGAATCAAAATGATGTTGGCTTCGTCGAAGGAGTCCAGAAGTTTTCATTCCATTTCTAGTTTTTTGAAATAGCTTGAGAAGAATGGGTATTAACTCTGATTTAAATGTCTGGTAGAATTCCCCAAGGCTCTTATTTTTTTGGTGGACTTTTGATAACTGATTCAATTTCTTCACTAGTTATGGGTCTGTTTAGATTTTCTATCTCTTCCCATTTTAATTTTGCTAGTGTGTGTGTGTTTAGAAATTTGTCCATTTCTTCTAGTTTGTCCAGTTTGTTGGCAATTAATTTTCATTCTCTGATAATTTCTTGTATTTCTGAGGGATTGGTTGTAATAAATCCATTTTCATTCGTGATTTTGTCTTTTTGGATGCTCTCTCTTTTCTTTTTGAGAAGCCTGGCTAGAGATTTATCAATTTTGTTTATTTTTTCAAAGAACCAACACTTGGTTTCATTGATCTGTTAAATTGTTTTCTGTATTCTATATTGTTTATTTCTGCCCTGATGTTTATTATTTCTCTTCTTCTGCTGGGTTTGGTGTGTTCTTGCTGCTTTGCTTCTAGTTCCTTTAGGTGCACTGTTAGATTTTGTATTTTTGCTTTTTCTAGTTTCTTGAAATAGGCCTGGAGTGCAATGTATTTTCTTCTTAGGACTTCCTTTACCCCATCCCAAAGTGTTTGGTTTGTTGTATTTTCATTTTTATTTGTTTCCATATATTTTAAATTTCTTCCCTAATTGCCTGATTGGCCCATTCTTTCTTTAGTAGGGTGTTCTTTAACCTCATGATTTTGGAGGTTTTCTAGACGTCTTCCTGTGGTTGATTTCAAGTTTTTTAGCATTGTGATTGGAAAGTGCACATAGTATGATCTCATTTCTTTTATGTTTATTATGGACTGCTTTATGACCTAGCATGTGTTCTATCTTGGAGAATGTGCCATGTGCACTTGAGAAGAAAGTGAATTCCATAGCCTCAGAATGTAGTGTTCTAAATATATCTGTCAAATCTGTCTGGCCCAATGTGTCATTCAGGTCTATTGTTTCTTTAGTGATTTTCTGTCTAGTTGATCTATCCATTGCTATCAGTGGAGTATTAAAATCTTCCGCAATTAGCATTCTTATCCATAAGATTGTGTGTGTGTGTGTGTGTGTGTGTGTGTGTGATTAATTGTTTTACATATTTGGGTGCCTCCGAATTCAATGTGTAGATATTTATAATTGTTAGCTCTTCCTGATAGACAGTCCCTGTAATTATTATATAATGCCCTTCTTCATCCCTTGTTACTGCCTTTACTTTAATGTCCAGTTTGTCCGATATAAGTATGGATACTCTAGCTTTCTTTTGACTTCCAGTAGCATTGTAGATATTTCTCCCTCCCCACACTTTCAATCTGAAGGTGTCCTCAGGTGTAAAAGGAGTCTCTTCTACACAGCAAATAGATGGATCTCTTTTTTTTTTAATCCAATCTGCTACCATATGTCTTTTGATTGGAGCATTTAGTCCATTTACATTCAGTGTTATTATTGAATAGTATGGGTTTAGAGTCATTGTGTTCTCTGTAGGATTTATGCTTGTAGTGGTGTCTCGGTACCTTGTGTTCCTTGCAACATTTCCCTCATAGGGCCTCCCTTAGGATTTCTTGTAGGGTTGGTTTAGTGGTGATGAGTTCCTTCAATTTTTGTTTCTTTTGGAAAACCTTTATCTCTTCTACTATTCTAAATGACAGGCTTGCTGGATAAAGGATTCTTGGCTGCATATTTTTTCTCTTAATCACATTGAAGATTTCCTGCTAAGTTTCAGTAGAGAGGTCTGCAACTACTGTGATTTGTTTCCCTTTGTATGTTAGGGCCCTTTTATCCTTAGCTGCTTTCAAAATTCTCTCTGTATCCTTATATTTTGCCAGTTTCACTATGACATGTGCAGAAGATCGATTCATGTTATGTCTCCGGGGAGTTCTCTCTTCCTCTTGGATTTCAGTGTTTCCTTCCCCAGATTGGGGAAGTTCTCAGCTGTAATTTGTTCAAGTACCCCTTCAGTCCCTTTCTCTCTTTCTTTTTCTTATGGAATTCCTATGATATGGATATTGTTCCATTTGATTGCATCACTCAGTTTT